AGAGTCCTAGCTACTTGGGAGGCTGAAGCAGGAGAATCGCTTGAACCCGGGAGGCAGAGGTTGCAGTGAGCCGAGATCACACCACTACACTCCAGCCTGGGCTACAAAGCAAGACTCCTTCTCAAAAAAAAGAAAAACGAAAAAAAAAAAAACAGTTTTAAAGAAGCCATGTTTCTTTGAGAGGCTGAGGCAGGCAGATCACAAGGTCAAGAGATCGAGACCATCCTTCCCAACATGGTGAAACCCCATCTCTACTAAAAATACAAACATTAGCTGGGCATGGTGGTGCACACCTGTAGTCCTAGCTACTCGGGAGGCTGAAGCAGGAGAATCACTTAAACCCGGGAGGTGGAGGTTGCAGTGAGCCAAAATCTCACCACTGTACGACAGGCTGAAGACAGAGCGAGACTCTGTCTCAAAAAAAAAAAAAAAAGAAGCCATGTTTTTGAAATGTATATAAACGTAATCATATGGCATTGCTTCATTGCTCTTTTGAGTCTGGCTTCTTTAGCTTAACAGAGTGTTCATGGGACGAGACTCATGCATGTTGAGTATAGCAATTTATTCTTTCTCATTGCTGTATAGTATTTCCTTGTATAAATATAACACAACTTGTCTATCCATTCTGATGTTGATGGGCATTTACATAATTTTTAGTTTTGTATAAAGCTACCATGAATATTATCATCTCTTTTAGTAAACATATATTTGCATTTCTCTTGAGTGAGAGAGAACTGGAGTCAAACAGCAGGGTCATAGGATATTGCATGTATTCACCATTAATAGAGACTACCAAACAGTTTTTCAAAGTTTATGTACTAGTTTATGCTCCTAACAAGCAATCTGAGTTTTGGCTGCTCCACATCCTTGCCCGCTCTTGGTTATTTCCCATCTTTTTCATTTTGGCAATTTCTAGTGGGATTATCTTATTGTAGATATGGAGGATTGTGTGGAGGATTATCTTATTGTAGTTTAACTTCTATTTCCTTGCTAACTGGTGAAGTCAAGCATCTTTTTATAAGCTTATTTGCTATTTGGATATTTTCTTTGTGAAATGCCTGTTCCTTTTGCCCTTTTTCTGTGGCTCTTAGTGATTTCTAGACATTCTTGATATATTTGAGATATTAATCATTTGTCAAATATAGGTATTACAGTTACCTTCTCCCACTGTAGCATTTGCCTTTACATTTTTAATTTTATCTTCTGATTAACAGAAGTCCTTAATTTTAATGTAGTCCAATTTAGGTATCCTTTATCAGGACTTAATATAAAGCACATTAATTAAGACTATAACACTGGTCCAAGAATAGACAAATAAACTAATGAAAATACAGAGTTCAGGAATGACCCCCACATATATGATCACAAGGAGACACTACAGAGCAATGGAGAAAGGATAGTCTTCTTTTTTTTCTTTTTTGGGGACAGAGTCTCACTCTATCCCCCCAGGCTGGAGTGCAGTGGTGAGATCTCAGCTCACTGTACCCCCACCTCCCGGGTTCAAGCGATTCTCCTGCCTCAGCCTCCCGAGTAGCTGCGATTATAGGCGTCTGCCACCACGCCTGACTAATTTTTGTATTTTTAGTAGAGATAGGGTTTCGCCATATTGGCCAGGCTGACCTCGAACTCCTGAGCTCAGGTGATCCGCCCACCTCGGTCTCCCAAAGTGTTGGGATTACAGACATGAGCCACTGTGCCTGGCCATGGGTAGACTTTTCAATAAATGGTGCTGGATTATCTTGCTTCCGTATGAAAGAAATGAATCTTGACTCTAACATATACCACACGCTAAAATCCTTCCCAGATGGACTGTGGATCTAAATGTGAAAGCTAAAATGATAAAACTTTTACATGACCCTGAGGTAGGCGAAGGTTTCCTAACAAGACATAATGCATGCCAACCATAAAGGAAAGAATGATCAATGATATGGTGTATTTCTATCAAGTGCTTCATTTCACATCTCCATCATTTTGTTTTAACATACTTGATTTTATGCCTCCTATTATTTTTTTCCTTTTTTTCTCCTATTATCTTTCGTTTGCTTTTTTTTTTTTTTTGAGACGGAGTCTCGCGCTGTGTCACCCAGGCTGGAGTGCAGTGGCGCGATCTCGGCTCACTGCAAGCTCCGCCTCCCGGGTTCACGCCATTCTCCTGCCTCAGCCTCCGAGTAGCTGGGACTACAGGCGCCCGCCACCACGCCCGGCTAGTTTTTTGTATTTTTAGTAGAGACGGGGTTTCACCATGTTAGCCAGGATGGTCTCGATCTCCTGACCTCGTGATCCACCCGCCTCGGCCTCCCAAAGTGCTGGGATTACAGGCTTGAGCCACCGCGCCCGACTTTTTTTTTTTTTTAAACAGAGTCTCACTGTGTCCCCCCAGGCCAGAGTACAATGGCATGATCTCGGCTCGCTGCAACCTCCGCCTCCTGGGTTCAAGTGATTCTCATGCCTTAGCCTCCCAAGTAGCTAGGAATACAGGCGCCTGACACCACGCCCGGCTAATTTATGTGTTTTTAGTAGAGATAGGGTTTCACCATATTGGCCAGGCTGGTGTCAAACTCCTGACCTCAAGTGATCCGCCCGCCTTGGCCTCCCAAAGTGCTGGGATTACAGGTGTGAGCCACTGTGCCTGGCTGGTCATGTTTCTCTTTTTTTTTTTTTTTTGGATGGAGTCTCGCTCTGTCACCCAGGCTGGAGTGCAGTGGCAAGATCTCGGCTCACTGCAACCTCCACCTCCTGGACTCAAGCAATTCCCCTGCTTCAACCTCCTGAGTAGGTGGGATTATAGGCATGCACCACCACACCCAGCTAATTTTTGTATTTTTAGTAGAGACGGGGTTTCACCACGTTGGCCAGGGTGGTCTCGAATTCCTGACCTTGTGATTCGCTCGCCTTGGCCTCCCAAAGTGCTGGGATTACAGGTGTGAGCCACTGTGCCTGGCCTCATTCATGTTTCTCTTAATCCTCTTTTAGGTTTTTATTACTTTTGAGTTTTGATTGTTTGGAATTTTGATTTTTTTAATGAATTTCTGTTAGTAGTTGCCTTTACCTTCCTTACAAATATGATTGTATGTCTTTTCTATATTACTAAATCCAAATAATATTGTACCGATATCTGCCTATGGAAATTTGTAATTTGCCTTCTCCTCATTTTGTTCAGTAAATTTTCCCAGGGAATTTTTTTGTTTGTTTGTTTTTTTGTGTTTTTTTGAGACAGTCTCTGTCACCCAGATTGGAGTGCAGTGGCATGATCTCGGCTCACTGCAACCTCCGCCTCCTGAGTTCAAGTGATTCTCCTGCTTCAGCCTCCCGAGTAGCTGGGACTACAGGTGCATGCCACCAGGCCCGGCTAATTTTTTGTATTTTTAATGTTTCACAGTGTTAGCCAGGATGGTCTTGATCTCCTGACTTCGTGATCCGCTCGCCTCGGCCTCCCAAAGTGCTGGAATTACAGGTGTGAGCCACCGTACCCGGCCAGGGAATTTTTAAATTTCCACATAGTTAATAGTAACAGCCTTATTTACTACAGATGCCCAATTACGTTGCTTTTCTTTATCCAGATGTAATTATATATCAATTGCAAGAATCCTATCTCAAAACTGCTTTCCTGTTTTGAGCTTTTTTGTTTCTATTCCGTTTACCATTGTTTAGACTATTCCCTTGAGTGTTCTCCTGAGATTGGAATATTGGCATAAAATGCTAGAAATGCTTTTATGTCTAAAATTGTCTTTCTTTTGCTCTGACAATAGAATGGTATCTAGCTAGGGTGGGTTTAGAATTCTTGGATCTCAGACCTTCTCTCGCAATAATTTGTAAAGTTTTCTTCTAACATGGCTTCTGTTTTTGCAAATACATCTAGTGCCACTGTGATCCCTTTTCCTTGTAAATGACGTGTTGGTTCTGCCTGGTAGTGTTGGAAATGTCAGTATCTGAGGTCATCGATTCAGTCCATGAGTTTATTGATTGGGGTGCTAAGGTGGTGAATGATTGCAAGTCTGGGATTCACAGGGATTACAAGTCAGTTTTGGGGGGCCTGTGGCAGTCCTGGATTGGGACCTATGGACATTGGTTATTATAGTACTGTGTGAGTTGCTCTGTGATGAACTGGAACTTCTATTACTGAGGGTTTTATGGGAGTCATTGATCCTATTGATGGTGTGCTGCCTGGGTTGGTGATAATTTGAAGAGCCTGTGGAAACCAGTTGATGACACCATTTGGTACACAGTTTTTGTCGAGCACTGTGGGCTATAGGGATTTAGGAGCCTGTGCAGACCTGCTGGTTTTCAGGGCCTGATGGGAATTGCAGAAGAGAAGGGACAAGTTTGAGTTTTCATCTTTGACAGAAGAGGGTGAGCTCTGTTCTTTGCATAGAATGTACACTGAATTACACAGAAGCTCAGTTTATGCTCAAGTGGCATGGTCACTGCTCAGCCAGAGCACTTTGAAGGTAGCAGGAACCACAGTGTTTATTGTGATTCTGCCTTGAATAGAGTACCAAATGGCTCAGTAGTTAAGAAAGTATGCTTTGGAGCCAGGCATACCTGAGTTTGAATCCTTGTCCTTCCCCCTCATCTGAGTGATCTTGGGGCAAATTTCTTAATATTTCTGAACAGCTCTATCTGATGGTAAATGGGATTAGTAATAATAATAATGCCTAGTCCACAGGATGAGTGTGAAAATTAAATGAGGTACCTAATAAAACATGCCTTGCACCTTGTAATAATAGCACTATTTAAAATGAGTTGAGCATGTTCCAGGTACCAAGTAGCTGTGCGTAGGAGCATCATTTCGTTTAATTCTAACAACCCTATGAGATAAGTATTTTCATCCTGTTTTAAGATGAAGAAACTTCACATAAAGTGACTTCCTCAGATTCTAGCTAGAACATAGAAGAACTTGAATACAAATGCTCATTCATTTTACACCAGATCTTGTGAATTTTCCCCATGTTTTGCTTTAATACTTGGTGTGGGTTTTACCGAACTTTTCTCTTCTGCAGCATCCAGCACAGTGAGCCTCCCCTGGGCACTACCAGAAAATATTCGTGGGTGAACGTGGAGTGATGACCATGTGGACACTGTCTTTCCAGGGTTTCTTGGAGCCTCTGCAGAGTCTGGGGGCCAGGCTCCTTAGTGGAAACTGCAGGATCTTCCTTCTGACTCCTGCTTGCCTCGCCCCAGCAGCTCCGGTTGAGTCCGCAGACGCCAGCTCAGCTTCCAGCTTGGGAAAGAGTGGGGTTGTCAGCAGGAGAGCCTGAGGGCTGAGGCCCAGCGTGAACATGGCAGCTAATGGGGACTCTCCCCCATGGTACCCGGTCGTGGCTGCAGAGGGACGTGGCAGCTCATGTGAGGTGAGGAGGGAGAGGACCCCGGAGGCAGTAATTCATTCAGTGAGGAGATACCCTGACCTGTCCCCAGGGCCTCAGGGCAGGAGCAGGTGAGTCAGAGGAAGTGGCAGATTCCAGACCTGCTGCCCTGGAGACAGACCAGGGTCCTCCCACTGAGAGTGAGTGCCACATGGCTGATGCGGCCACATCCAGAGCCCCACGTGTTTCAGTGGACAGGGTAATGTGGCTGATTACACTAGAGGAGAGGGAGGATGTGGAGGGTGAGCCCCACAACCTAGGGAGTGGGGGCAGCTCCCTGCAGGGCAAATGAGGGTGAGGTCCAGGTGGAAGCAGCCACTATCCATAGCCAGGGAGACTCCATCCCCTACCCCAGCACCAACCCTTCCCTCTCTGTCGGCTCTTTATAGTCGTCAGCTGATCCCCACCAGTGCCCACTTCCCCCAGGTCTCTGGGGATCTGGCAATTTCTCCTCTATCCTGATTTAGGTAGAGAAAAATCCTTTTTCTTTGGAACTTAGAGACTGGCAGGGTAGTAGGGCCACCATAGTCTCTGGGACCCTTCTGGCTTTCCCTCCTCCTTTCAAAGATGAATAAAATGGCCAGGCACAGTGGCTCACGCCTATAATCCCAGCACCTTTGGGAGGCTGAGGCGAGTGGATTGCTTGAGGTCAGGAGTTCAAGACCAGCCTGACCAATATGACGAACCCCCGTCTCTACTAAAAATACAAAAAGTTAGCTGAGCTTGGTGGCGCATGCCTGTAATCCCAGCTACTTGGGAGGCTGAGGCAGGAGAATCACTTGAACCTGGGAGGTAGAGGTTGCAGTGAGCTGAGATCACACCACTGCACTCCAGCCTGAGTGACAGAGTGAGACTCCGTCTCAAAAACAAAAACAAAAAAAAAAAAAAAAACTCTAGGCCGGGCGCGGTGGCTCACGCCTGTAATCCCAGCACTTTGGGAGGCCGAGGCGGGCGGATCACAAGGTCAGGAGATCGAGACCATGGTGAAACCCCGTCTCTACTAAAAATACAAAAAATGAGCTGGGCGCGGTGGCGGGCGCCTGTAGTTCCAGCTATTCGGGAGGCTGAGGCGCCACTGCACTCCAGCTTGGGCGACAGAGCGAGACTCCGTCTCAAAAAAAAAAAAAAAAAAAAAAAGATGAATAAAATGCCCCAGAAGACACATGACTCGCCCAGGCCTCTCAGGTTGGCGGTGACAACACTAGACTGGAGTCAGGTCTCCTGACTGTGTCTTCCACCCTCACTGCACCACAGCTGAGATCAAGTTTCCTGCTCAGAGCTCCCGTTCAGATCAGAGTTCCCATTGAGATTCTGTAAGCCGAGGAGGACCACGAGCGAGCCAGACCCTGCCCAACAGCTCCCTCCTTTCAGACCTGCCTGTGGATGCTGTTGACTCTGGAAGGGTTCATTGTCTCAGGGGCTCAGGGTCATGTGGTCATTAGGATAACATTAAACTTTTAAATATTATTTTTTTTGGTCATTTTATAACTTCATAATAAAATATTAGAAAGTATAGTTTAGCAAATAGAAGAAACTAAAAAATTACTTGTCGTTCCAACATTACCCAAAGCTAACCAGTGTTAACATTTAGCTGTATTTCCTTTCAGTGGTTTTTTCCTTTGTGTGTGCATGTGTGCATGTGTGTGAGTATACGTGTGGGGCCTGAGTGTGCATGCATACTGTACACATACACATATATAGCTAAAGTTTTAAAACAGAATCATACTCTTTGGTTACCTCATTTTTAACTGGGCAGTTTAACATGGTTTGCTAGGCAGCAAGTATTTTTCTTAATACACTTATGATGTCCATAATTTAGCCAGTTTGCTATTTTTTTAATTTTATTTATTTATTTTAATGTTTTTTCCTCTGAGGCAGTCTCCCTCTGTTGCCCAGGCTAGAGTGCAGTGTTGCAATCTCAGCTCACTACAGCCTCAATCTCCTGGGCTCAGGCGATCCTCCCACCATAGCCTCCTAAGTAGCTGGGACTACAGGCACATGGCACCACACCCAGCTGGTCTCAAGCTCCTGGGGTCAAGTAATCTTCCTGCCTTGGCCTCCCAGAGTGCTGAGATTACAGGCGTGAGTCACCACCATGCCCCGCAAATTTTATTTTTAATTGATGAATAATAATTGTGTATATTTATGGGGTACAATGTGATGTTTTGATATTTGTATACATTGTAGAATATTTAAATCAACCTAATTAACATATCCATTACTTCAAAGACTTATTTCTTTCATGATGTGAACATTTAAAATCTGCTCTTGGCCGGGTGAGGTGGCTCATGCCTGTAATCCCAGCACTTTGGGAGGCCGAGGCGGGCGGATCACGAGGTCAGGAGATCGAGACCATCCTGGCTAACACGGTGAAACCCCGTCTCTACTACAAAATACAAAAAACTAGCCGGGCGAGGTGGCGGGCGCCTGTAGTCCCAGCTACTCCGGAGGCTGAGGCAGGAGAATGGCGTAAACCCGGGAGGCGGAGCTTGCAGTGAGCTGAGATCCGGCCACTGCACTCCAGCCTGGGCGACAGAGCGAGACTCCATCTCAAAAAAAAAAAAAAAAAAAAAAAGGTATAGGGGCATTAAATAGCAAGTGAATCAGTGCTCGACAGTAGTACACTTCCACCTTGTCTAAGCTCTGCTCAGTCATGTCAGTCACGGACCCACAGATTAGGGCCATGACAATGTGGTCCTCCCCACTCTTGCACATGGCCTCTTGCCCAGCCAACAGTGGGGATTTCTAGAAGAACGATTCTGAAAGGCACATTTCTCCATTCATCTCTTCCTTCCTAACCACAGATCTCTGACCCACCTCAAGAAGAGATGGAAATGACTGAGACCCTGGGAGGAATATTATTTATTGACTTATTTATTGGTTAGGGTCTTGGTGTTTTCATTAAACATCAGGGAGCAGGGTATAGGCAGAGATACCTAGGAACCAATAAAAATGTCCCCAGGGTTTGAGGAGCAGCCAGTTGTACCAAGAAACAGTGGCTGAAGATGGAGAATAAGCAGAGGGATCGGTAAGGTAAAGAGGGCTGGAGGGAGCCACAAGGGAATAAGGAACAGGGACCATGGTGCACTTACTAGAGATGAAGAATAGCCAACGGGTCCAGGATACAGGTGGAAGAATAATGAAACAAGCAGGACATGAGTCAGACGCTGGAGCCAGAGACCAAGAAACAGTTGCTCAGGCTGGAGAAGTGGTAATCACTGGGGAGCAGGGAAGAGCCGAGGGTTAAAGAACAGTGAGAAGGATCATGAAATAGGAGGAGGTACCAGGAAATAGAGGAACCAGAAAGCAGCCAGACAGAGCAGTCAGTATCCAGAGGGGTGAGGAAGCAGAAGAATCAGATAAAATGGAAAAAGCAAACATATCCAAGGAACTGGGTATGAGCCTGAGGGACAAGCAACTTCCCGAGGAACCAGGAAGCAGTTCCTTGGTTTAGAAGAGAGCTTGAGGGTATAGGCAAAAGACAGAGATACTAGGGAACAAGAAATGGGAAATATGACCCAGAGAATGGATTGCAGCCAGAGGAACCAGGAGACAATTGCTGAGGCTGTAGAATGGGCAGAGGGATCAGGGAAGGGACAGAGTCCATGGAACAGGTGAAAAGATGAGAGAAGAGCCTCTGAAGCTGTAGAATGGCCTAGAGTACTGTGGAACACCTGGAGCAAGGAACGGTCACTGAGGCTGGGGGGCAGCCAGAGGGAGCAGCCAAAATGTGCTTGGGGCTGAGGGTCCACCAGAGGCCCTGGGAAGTAACCAGAGGAACTAGGGAACAGGTCAAGTGAGCATTAAACATGTATCCAGTGTGGAGTAGCAGCTGATTGACCAGTGGCCAGCTAGAGAGACCAGAGGAGAACCAGAAAGAATGGTATAACTGAAGCGAGTTAACAGCCCGAGGGCCCAAACAGTAGTTACTGGCGTGAAGGCACAGTTGGAGAGGCTGGGAAACAGCCAGAGTTCCCAGGACCATGCTGGTTTGCCTGTGACTGAGGGGACATGGGACTTCCAGTGCTAAAACAGGAACATTCCTGGGCAAACTGAGACACTTGGCCACCCTACCCAGGAAGGAATCAGAGGAACCAGCCAATAGTTAAATGTAATGTGAGTAATGGAGGCAATGCAAGTACAGAATCCAGCCGTGGCATAGAACACGCAGTAGTGCATTTTAATGGGTAAGGGCATAAGCTAGCTAGTTAGGTACTGCTCAAAGTGTGGTCCACGGACCAGATGCGTGAACATCACGGGAGAGCATAGTAGAAATGTATTCAATGGCCAGGCACGGTGGTAATCCCAACACTTTGGGAGGCCAAAGCAGGAGGATTGTTTGAGGCCAGGAGTTCAAGACCAGCCTGGGCAACATGGTGAAACCCCATGTCTACATATATATACACACACATACACACACACACATATATATGTATATACATATCCAAAAAAAAAATAGCCAGGTAGGGTGGTACTGAGGTGGGAGGATCATCTGAGCCCGGGAGGTGGAGGCTGTAGTGAGCCGTGATTGTGCCACTGTACTCTAGCCTGGGTGGCAGAGTGACGCCCCATCTCAGAAAGAAGAAAGGAGGAAGAAGGGAAGGAAAGAATGGAAAGAAAGAAATGTACTCAAGGAACTATCCAAGGACAGGGAAGAATCAGGAGACTAGAGATTAGTCAGCAGAATCCAACAGCAGTCAGTCTGTGTGAGCCAGGAACAGCTGGAAGGAACAAGAAAGGCCCTTAGGGACCAGGGAACAGTCAGGTAGACTAGCACACAATCAGAATGGTGCCACAGAACAAGGATCAGCTGGAGGGACAACAAAGGGAGCACAGGGCAGTCAGAACAGGAAACAGGAGGCATGAATAGTTAGAGGGATCCAGGTAGAGTCAAAGAAAGCAATAAAAGAACGGGGGTACTCAGAAGGAACAAGAGCCATTTAGAGGGAATAGGAAAGAGAGGGACCAAGGAAAAGTCAGAGGGA